CCACCCATTCAACATCCGAGCAAATCTTTTGTCAGCTTAAGTTTTTCCATTTATTTGTTATTTATTTAAATGTATTTAAGGGTCTCTTTTTGTGTGTATTTACTTAACATTCGAATGACTACCGGAAGAGAGCAGAGCGAGTGTCTGAAAGAGACAAATTTGAAGTGAGAGAGAGAGCAGCCAACTGAAAAAGGGTGGAGCTTCAGTTGTATTGCCAGCCATACTATGACCACTTTAAGTGGAAGTCCGAATGGTGATAATAGGTTATGGCTTTTGGCCGATAAAAAAATGAATAATATTGAATTAAGTTTTGAAGCAATATTTTCAAAATTGGCAAAAAATAATTTGTATTGCTTCAAAATGTTTTAAGGGCCGTCAGACCAATACAAATTTTCAAGGACCTGAGAGCAATAAATGTGGATTTTTTAAAGAATATTTTTTCAAGGACCATCAATCGTTGATTTTTTAAAGAATATTTTTTTAAGGACCAACAGACCAATAAACATGAATTTTTCAAAGAATATTTTTCAAGGACCATCCCAACAATAAACCTGGATTTTTTAAAGAATATTTTTCAAGGACCAATAGATTAATAAACATGGATTTTTTAAAGGACCATCCCAACAATAAACCCGGATTTTTTAAAGAATATTTTTTCAAGGACCAACATCCCACTAAACGTTGATTTTGTAAATAATATTTTTTCAAGGACAAACAGATCAATAAACGTGCATTTTTCAAAGAATATTTTTCAGAGACCCTTAAACCAATAAACGTGGATTTTTAAAGGATATTATTTAAGGACCCCTGGACCAATAAACGTGGATTTTTTAAAGAATAAGTTTCAAGGACCACCTCAGCAATAAACGTGGATTTTTTAAAGAATAAGTTTCAAGGACCACCTCAGCAATAAACGTGGATTTTTTAAAGAATATTTTTCCAAGGACCATTAGACCAATAAACGTGGATTTTTTAAAGAATATTTTTTCAAGGACCATCAGACCAATAAACGTGGATTTTTTAAAGAATATTTTTTCAAGGACCCTTAGACCAATAAACGTGGATTTTTTAAAGAATATTTTTTCAAGGACCCTTAGACCAATAAACGTAGATTTTTTAAAGAATATTTTTTCAAGGACCCCTGGCCCAATAAATGTGGATTTTTTAAATATTTTTTCAAGGACCCTTAGACCAATAAACGTAGATTTTTTAAAGAATATTTTTTCAAGGACCCTTAGATCAATAAACGTGGATTTTTTAAAGATTATTTTTCGAGGACCCTTAGATCAATTAACATGGATTTTTTTAAAGATTATTTTTCAAGGACCCTTAGACCAATAAACGTGGATATTTTAAAGAATATTTTCTTCAAGGTCTGTTAAACTTGGTTCCTTTTTAAAGACATATAGCGGCTTTCTTCATTGATTGATGACAATGCAATGATATTTAATATAAAAATATTCCTCAAGAACAACTTATGATATTTTGACTTTACTTAACAACCATTGTTATCTCATATGAGGCAAGCAAGCATTTTACACATGCATATCAGTTTGTAGTCAATGTTAAATCTCGTAATCTAACTCAAACACATCACATATAACATCGGAAAATTTTATCTTATTTATTTCTAATGACTCAAAGGTTTGTTCACCACATTTTTTTATCTTATTTAATGTGGACTATATTGAAAAGATCCCTGTTAAATAAAAATTGTTCTCTTCTATACTAGGTAACCCCGCTATTATCTTTTAACCCTCCGTGAACATTCTCGGCAGGGACAAGTGTCAAGTGTTCATAATTTCGTGATGCTACAATTTTCATTTTGCTGGCTGCACCACTTCCATTTGGCACCTTCTTCTTCCTGAAAACATAAGTTTCTTTTAGAATATTTTTATTCTTGCTTCCTTTCGATTATACAGTGCTTGGAAGCTGTCCTTCCAAATTTCGGGACTTTTTCATCCACAATTAATTCAACTTCAGTAATAGGGCCTTCTACTCCAATTCTTCAGCTACTCTACGGGCCTCCACCGAATAATCCGAATACTTCAATTTTAACTCCCATTGAACCAGCACGTTCAATTATAGCAACCAACATTGACATTCACAATAACATCCAGCTTTATGTTCGTTGCTAATAGTTCCGCCATTTCCCGCGATGCTATCTTTTATGTGTTATATCCTAAGCAGCCACAAATTCATGCTTGAGTTCCTGCAGCTGATTTTGTACAACATTCATATCATCTTTCAATTTTAAGTCTCGTTGAATCTGGACGTTAAATAACAGCACCCTTTCTTTACGATAACATCCACAGCAACCTTTAAGCAAAATTTAAGCTATAAGTTCTTTACTTGTTGTTCCGCCATTTTCCGCTTCGCTTCCTCTAATAATTAGATACCGATATTTCCATAGCTAGAGCCACGTTTAACCTTTATATATTCTAATTTCCATCTTCAACCGTCATACGTTCATGATTCAAAACATCGCTTGCCTCTCTCTATCTAAAGCCTTGTTCACGCCCAGTAGCGTATGATGCCTTATATTGCATATTTGACACCTGTTGTTGCTGATACATATTTTGCCTGTCTTGTAAATTCTCAGTACTTTTTTTGCTGATATTTTCTGCTCTGTTTCAGCTATTCTAGGGGCCTCATCCGAATAAGCCACTTTCTCCTTCAAAGACTTTACAGAATTGTTTTGCTTGAGAATTCACTGCATGCGTTCTTTCTTCAGCAGCCACCAATTCGGACTTGAGTTCCTGCACTTGATTTTGTGGGACACGGCAGTTATATTCATTCATATTATCCAACAATTTGAAGCCTCGTTGAACCTGGACGTTCAATAAGGCCAGCATTGACACACACATCAATTACATTCAAGCTTTATGTTCGTTGCTCGAAGTTCCACTCTAATAACTTGGCATATTTATTGGACACAGTTGTTTCCATAGCTAAAGTCACGCTTACACTTTTTATATTCTTATTTCCATCTTTAACAGCCATCAATTCATAATTCAAATATCCGTTGTCTCTCTTCTTTCGTTTGTCTTGTGTTGTAGGTGGAAGCAGCAGATTCTCAATTTTTCAGCATGGAACTCTCTCTCTCTCAACTGGTATCGTAGAAAAGAATTTTCCACATTTAGCCATCTTGTACCCAACTTCATTGCAGGCATTGCTCAACTTCTGTATATGGTTGAGTCCTTTATGGAACTTCGTCACCGATTCCTTGTCCTGGGAATTGGACTGTCTCATCCCTTCTGTCTGAAAATTTCAATATAAAGCCGCCACGGCAGTCCTATGTGCTGATGTTTCTTTCTGACTGAGCATCATTTTTACTGGATCATAAGTTTTCTCTCTATCAGAATAATTGTAGCTATAGTTTTAGCCTGGTAATTGTCCATTCTTGAAGACAATTTTCAGCCTAGCTGACAAAATTTCCTCGACGTTAAGGCAAATGCTTTAACATTTATGCGGAGATTTTTTTCCTTCACTATCCGGCTCGAAGGACCAATGTTTAACACAAAACGTGAACTTTTAAGGGCCATCAGACCAATAAACGGAATTTTTTTAAGAATGTTATCAAGGGTTATCTAAGAAACAAACGTGGATTTTTTCGAGGGACATCCGCGCTATAAACGCGGATTTTTTTTTTAAATTAAGATTATTTTTTAAAAATATTTTTTAAAGATCATCCGAACTATAAACGTTGATTTATTAAGAATAACTTTCAAGGGAGATTTTTCTTAAGTTTCGTCCAAGTTATAAACGTGGATTTTGAAGAATATTTTTAAGGGTCGTCGTAGTTATAAACGTCGATATTTTAAGAATATTTTTAAGGGTCATCCCAGTTATAAACGTTCCTACTTAAAAATATTTTTAAAGGGCATCTGAGTCATAAACAGGGATACTTTAAGAATATTTTCTCAAGGATCATCCGAGCTATAAACGTGGATATTTCAAGAATATTTTCAAGGATCATCCGAGTTATAAACGTGGATTTTTTAAGAATATTTTTTCAAGGATCTTCCGAGCTATAAACGTGGATATTTTAAGAATATTTTCTCAACGATCTTCCGAGCTATAAACATCGATATTTTAAGAATATTTTCTCAAGGATCATCCGAGTTATAAACGTGGATTTTTTAAGAATATTTTCTCAAGGATCTTCCGAGCTATAAGCGTGGATTTTTTAAGAATATTTCTCAAGGATCATCCGAGTTATAAACGTGGATATTTTAGGAATATTTTCTCAAGGATTGTCCGAGCTAAAAACGTGGATATTTTAGGAATATTTTCTCAAGAATTGTCCGAGCTATAAACGTGGATATTTTAAGAATATTTTCTCAAGGATTGTCCGAGCTATAAGCGTGGATATTTTAAGAATATTTTCTCAAGGATTGTCCGAGCTATAAACGTGGATATTTTAAGAATATTTTCTCAAGGATTGTCCGAGCTATAAACGTGGATATTTTAGGAATATTTTCTCAAGGAGCTATAAACGTGGATATTTTAAGAATATTTTCTCAAGGAGCTATAAACGTGGATATTTTAAGAATATTTTCTCGAGGATCATCCGAGTTATAAACGTGGATATTTTAAGAATATTTTCTCGAGGATCATCCGAGCTATAAACGTGGATAGTTAAAGAATATTTTCTCAAGGATCATCCGAGCTATAAACGTGGATATTTTAAGAATATTTTTGGTACCTCATCGATATCTTGAACATGAACACAAACATACAAATAAAAAAAAAAATGTTTATTTTTTTAAATTGTTTTGAATTTTTTATTTAATTCCTTTTTTTCATATTTCTTGTTAAACTTACATTTAAAATTCACACATAAATTATTTAGCGACTCAAAACGACCTGATGCTATAAAGAGGGAAAATTTCAATGGCCATTTGAGTCTATTAAATAATTTTATTCTATTTTTAATTAAATATTACACTTTAACTTATGCTAGAGAGAAAAATTACAAAATAATAATAACAAAAAATCATACAGTGGTTGGTGCTTAAACGAACAACAAACTTAAAAATAACTGTTATTTACAAAATAAATATTAGCAATTTTTTTACAAGTTTAAATGACACAGTAATGAGTATCTAGGAAAAAGTGAGGTGGTGTGGTGGAGGAGAAGAGACTGTTTATAAAAATTTTGAAATTCACATATTTCCAGTTTTATCTATATTTACATAATTTAATATTTAAAACATTTTTTAACTAGATTGCCCATTTATGCCACTTCCAAATCGGATTCATCACCATCACTATAGTTGGGATCGGGTTTTATGTGCAGTTGCGTCACAAAATCGTCGGGAGTACATTTGAGATTTACAACACCATTGGCGTTGCTGTTCACCGAGGCAGGGACACCATTACATTGTTCTTCTTGCAGTTTGCGCAAACGCTCTTGCTCTTCACGTTTCTGCTTACGCCATTTGGCCCGACGATTTTTGAACCAAACCTAAAATGAAAAGAAGGAAATTGTTTTATATGGTTATAGTTTTAATTTATGAGTATATTTTTTTATATTTTCAGGTGAACCAATTTGGAGGTATGGGAGCTCTGCAATTGAAATTTTGATCGTATGAGTTTTACAAAATTTTTTCGTACTTGGAGGAGTTCTGTTATTGAAAATTTTGATCGTATGAGTTTTACAAAAATTAATTGTTGCTGGATTCCCGTGTTCATTAAAAAATACCAACCGTAAGATATAGAAAATAGAAAATATAATAGAAAATTGATCTTGTGAGTTTTACAAAAAATCGGAGTACTATCTATCTGTAGACTCCAGGTTAATGAGAATTGGAACGCCTAAGTTTTACAAAGAAAATTCTGCCTTTTTGTTGTAAATTTCCCAAAAATGAATCGACTTTTTTTTGGATATTTAAATATTTGATACATACAAACTTTCAGAAAATATTCGGATAATTCCCGACCAATAAGCGTTCGAAATATAGTGTATATAGGCCATTAAAAAATACTCTATGTCCAAATTCCCGACCTTCCGATAGATCTTCAAAAATAATTATTAAAACAAATCCTGATTTATTAGTCCCTTCGAAGTATTTTTAAATAATCTTAATAAGCCCGCCAAAATTTTCCTAAAAATCCGTGTGTACACCGCCATTACAGTCTTCTGAGCTGAAGTCCCTTTCTGGCTCCACATCATGTTTATTGCCTAATAAATTTCCTCTCTATGGGAACAATTCTAGCTATGGTTTTATCCCTGTAATTTTCCACTCTTGAAGAGAATTTTCAGCCTAGCTGTCAGAATTTCCTCAAAGTTAAGGCAAATTCTTTAACATTTATGCGGAGATTTTTTTCTCCAATATCTGGCTCGCAGGACCAATGCTAAACACCAAATGTGGGTTTTTGGTTTTCAAGGATCGTAAGACCAATAAAAGCGAATTATTTTTTAAATAAACCCTTCGAAGTATTTTAAAATAACCCGTAAATATAGTCCCAATGAGCCCGTCAAAAAGTTCCTAAAAACCTACGAGGGCCCTTCAAAAACTATTTTAGAAATCAAGTTATTCCTTCAAACATATACAAGGTTTTCAAAAATATTAAAAAATCCACGTTCTTCAAGAAGTATTCTTAACAAATTCAAGGACAGTCAAGGATATATTGTTAAGAAATCATGAGTGTGGAAAGGACAGTCCTGCAAAGAACATTCCTTAAAAAAAATATCAATCAACTGTTGGTCCTTGAAAAATATTCCTTCAAAAACTACGTTTATTGGTCTGATGGCCCTTGAAAGATATTCTTTAAAAAAACCACGTTTATTGGACGGTTGGTCCTTGAAATATATTTTTTAGGATTTGAAAATAGTCTTTAAAAAATCCAAGTTTTTTGGATTGTCGACCCTTGAAAAATATTCTTTAAAAAATAATCTTGGTCTAAGGGTCCTTGAAAAATATTCTTTGTCTAAGTGTCCTTGAATAATATTTTTTAAAAATACAGTTTATTGATCTGTTGGTACTTGAAAAATATGTTTTAAAAAATATTCTTGGTCTAAGGGTCCATGAGAAATATTTTTTAAAAAATATTCTTGGTCTAAGGGTCCTTGAAAAATATTATTTAAAAATCCAGTTTATTGATATGTTGGTCCTTGAAAAAAAAATTTCTTCAAAAATCCAAGTTTACTGGTCTAAGGGTCCTTGAAAAAAATCTTCATAAAATGCAAGATTATTGGTCCGTTGGTCCTTGAAACAAATCTTCAACAAATCCACGTTTATTGGTCTAAGAGTCCTTGAAAAACTCCAAGCTTATTGGTCAGTTGGTCCTTGAAAAAAATTCTTCAAAAAATCGAAGTTTATTGGTCTAAGGGTCCTTGAAAAAAAAAATCTTCAAAAAATGCAAGGTTATTGGTCCGTTGGCCCTTGAAAAAAAATCTTCATAAAAAATCCACGTTTATTGGTCTAAGAGTCCATGAAAAAAATCCAAGCTTATTGGTCAGTTGGTCCTTGAAAACATTCTTCAAAAAATCCAAGTTTATTGGTCTAAGGGTCCTTGAAAAATATTCTTTAAAAAATCCAAGTTTATTTGTCTAAGGGTCCTTGAAAAATATTCTTTAAAAAATCCAGGTTTATTGGTCTAAGGCTACTTGAAAAATATTCTTTAAAAAATCCACGTTTATTGGTCTAAGGCTACTTGAAAAATATTCTTTAAAAAATCCTGGTTTATTGGTCTAAGGCTACCTGAAAAATATTCTTTAAAAAATCCAGGTTTATTGATCAAAGGCTACTTGAAAAATATTCTTCAAAAAATCCACGTTTATTGGTCTAAGGCTACTTGAAAAATATTCTTTAAAAAATTCTCGTTCTATGGTCTGTTAGTCTTTGAAAAGTATTCTTTAAAAAAATCCACGTTCATTGGTCTAAGGGTCCTTGAAAAAAATTCTTCAAAAAATCCACGTTTTTTTGGTCCATTGGTCCTTAAAAAATATTCTTTAAAAAATCCTCGTTTATTGCTCTAAGGGTCCTTGAAAAATAGTATTTAAAAAATCCATGTTTGGTGGGCTGTTGGTCCTTGAAAAATATTCTTTAAAAAATCCATGTTTGGTTGGCTGTTGGTCCTTGAAAAATATTCTTCAAAAAATCCAAGTTTATTGGTCTAAGGGTCCTTGAAAAATATTCTTTTAAAAATCCAAGTTTATTTGTCTAAGGGTCCTTGAAAAATATTCTTTAAAAAATCCTCGTTCTATGGTCTGTTGGTCTTTGAAAAGTATTCTTTAAAAAAAATCCACGTTCATTGGTCTAAGGGTCCTTGAAAAAAATTCTTCAAAAAATCCACGTTTTTTTGGTCCATTGGTCCTTAAAAAATATTCTTTAAAAAATCCTCGTTTATTGCTCTAAGGGTCCTTGAAAAAAAGTATTTAAAAAATCCATGTTTGGTGGGCTGTTGGTCCTTGAAAGATATTCTTTCAAAATCTACTTTTATTGGTTTAAGGGTCCTTGAAAATATTCTTTAAAAAATCCGCATTAATTGATCTGTTGGTCCTTGAAAAATATTCTTTAAAAAATCCACGTTTGGTGGTCGAATGGTCCTTGAAAAATATTCTTTAAAAAATCCACGTTTGGTGAGCTGTTGATCCTTGAAAAATATTCTTTAAAAAACCCAAGTTTTTTGATCTCTTGATCCTTAAAATATATAATTTAAAAATCCACGATTTTTGTCACTGTAGCGTTTATCTAAAAATCACCACCCGCTATGGAACAAGTTCTCTGTCATTTCGATTGCAATATTCTTGCCCCTTTTCCTCTTCCACCCACTTTTCATTTTTGTTTTTCAATAAATAATATTTATCCAAAAATTGATTTCAGTTGTTTGGCTGGCAGTAGTTTTGCCACAATTAACTCTCATCGTTAGTTCGGGCCAATTGTTTTGAAAGCAATTATTTTCATTGTTATTATTTGTATTATTTTTTCCTCCTCCTCCCTCCCGACCGATCGAAAAATACAAACTTTTCCCTTCAATCTCTCGCCCCTCAAAAGTTTACCTTTTGTTGCTCAATACCGTTTTTCCATTGAACTATAAACAAATTGGCAAATAAAATTGAAATACAATTATTTTTACAAAAATCATCACACAAATAGACGACTATGGCCAATACTGAAACTTTGAGAGGAATTGTGAAAACAAGAAAAATCATTCGAAATGCTACAAATGATTGAATGAATAAGCAATAGGTGCAGGAACTTATTTTTTTCACAGAAACAAACACAGATTGCATAAATTCCCATTACAAATTTGAAATCAAAATACAAAAATCAAATGATGAACCTTTTTCCAAATGACATGGCAAAGGGATGGCTCAATTGAAGGGATGCTGCTTCATTCGTTCATCCATTCGTCAATTTGTTGAAGAAGCCATTGAAATTGTTTATTTAGCAAATCGACTAAATTTGTTAAAATAACACAGTTGGCCTGCTTCTGCTCTTCAGCAGATATTTATTTTATATCTTATTCTTTGTATTATCATTATCTGGCATTATTATTATTTTTTGATTTCGTTACGTCGTAAGATTTGGGATTTAGCTTCTGCTTAGCTCTCATTCGACTAAGAGTTTTTAAATGTTTTTATTAGAAATATGGAAATTCTTTTAAACGTATTATTCTTTTTCTGTAGTCATTTCTTCGTTCACTCGCTTTTTTTCTTTTCGTTTTATTCAACAATTTGATCTGCTTTGAGGCAGGAGACTAAAGAGGGAAAATGAGTGGGACATAGGCATTTAAATGTTTTACGAATTTCAGGGTATAGAAAATGTTATTCATATATTCAAACGAATAAAATAATTTGTAGGTTAGCGATTTAAAAATTTCAAATGAAACAAGTAAAAAAGAAATAAGTTCGGCCTTCACAATTTGGAAATTTTCAAACAAATAAAATTCGTTAAAATTTCTGTTAAAATCTTAAAAATACCGAACATAGGAATTCGCCGGCGTGGACCACCATTGGCCATCTTTGTGGCTCAGCATCATTTTTATTGCCTGATAAATTGCCTTTCTTCTCTATGGGAACAAATCTAGCTATAGATTTATCCCTGTAATTTTCCACTTTTAAATACAATTTTCAGTCCAGACACAAAACGTCGATTGTTTTAGAAGTATATTTTAAATTATCACCAGATTAGTAGAGGTGGAGTATTTTTAAATTAGTAGTATTTCTAAATAAACCCTTAAATATAATCTTATTAAGCCCGTAAAAATCCAGATAGTCCTTCGAAAAAATTTTTGAATATAACAAGGCTTTCAAAAATATTAAAAAGTCCGCGTCCTTCAAGAAATATTTTAAAAAATATCAAAGGGAGTCCCTCAAAAATTTTGTTGAGAAATCACGATTGTGGAAAGGACAGTCATATCATGAATATTCTTAAAAAATCCACGACATTCCTTAAAAAATATATCATTAAAAATCCAATCGTTGGTTCTTCGAAAATATTATTTTAAAATCCAATT